GCAGGCTAGAAGAAAGGGGAACAGTAGAAGTGCACAGGGTACCTCTCCCAGCTAAGTCAGCTTCCTTTTGCTCATATCTCACTAGGCAAAATTAGTTTATGCCTAGCTGCAAGGGAGGTAACACATTGCTGCCTTGAATAACATTTACTTGTAAACTGATAATAAACCAACTAATGTTTACTGAGCATCTGTAACGTGTCTAGCTCTTTAGAAAACAACCCTGCAGTGCAGATATCATCACTGTCATTCAACAGACTGGAAAAGTGAGGTTCAGTGGGTTTAAAGAAACTGCTCACAGATCACACCACCAGTGATGGTGGAGCTGACTTCCTGAAGCCCGTGCTCTTTCCATTGTATTTTGCTGCCTTCCCACCAGCAACTAAAAAAATGGAGAAGAAAGTTCCTCAGACTTCTCATTGATTATATTTAAAGAAAGGCCACTTTTTTCTATTTAAAGTGCATTGATGCTACGCAGCCAATGAAAAGAACTTAGATCTGTATAAAAGCAGGGACATGGTCTGTTTTGTTCACCACTATCTTCTCAATGCCTAGAACAGTGCTGGGCAAATAGTAGAAATCCAATAAATGTGAATGTTCCCTGAATGTTCTTTTGTACCCCTTTCCAGTCAATCTCCATCCTTCAGATGCAACCACTATTCTGATGCTGATTACCATAGGTTAGTTTGGCCTTTTATTTAACCTCATGTAAATGGAATCATACATCTATAACTCTTTGGTGTCTGCCTTCTTTTTGCCCAACAGTTTTTTGAGATTTATTTATGCTGTTATGTGTATCAGTAGTTTATCCTTTTAATGGCTGTGTAGTATTCCATTGTTGGAATATACCATAGTTTGCTTATCCATTCTTCTTTTGATGAACATTTATAATATTCCCAGTTTGTGCATGTTATGAATGAATAAAGATGTTAAAAGCATTCTTGTACAACCCCTCCCCCTTTGGGGGGGATACTTGCTGACATTTTTTGTGAATATATAACTAGGAGTTGAATTTCCGAGCCACAGGGTAGATGTACACTTAGCTTGAAAAACTGGCAAAAGTTCCCCCAAATTGGTTGACTCCTTTTACATTCCACCAGCAACGCTGGAGTGTGAGATGGAGATCTTTTATCATTTCTATTAATTCCATAGCACAAACCTAATAAGGACTTTTTATAAATTTATTTATTTATTTTTGGCTGCGTTGGGTCTTCATTGTTGCGCACGGGCTTTCTCTAGTTGCGGCGAGCAGGGGCTACTCTTTCTTGCCCTGCGCAGGCTTCTCATTGCAGTGGCTTCTCTTGTTGAGGAGTACCGGCTCTAGGGCACACGGGCTTCAGTAGTTGTGGCACGTGGGCTCAGTATTTGTGGCTCACGGGCTTAGCTGCTCCACGGCATGTGGGATCTTCCCTGACCAGAGCTCGAACCCGCGTCCCCTGCATTGGCAGGCGGATTCTTAACGACTGCGCCACCAGGGAAGTCCCTAATAAGGACTTTTTAAAGTATTGACTTTTAAGTCTACTCAGATAAGAAAAACAAAATCTGAAATGAAATCATCTGTCTGGAAATTCTCCTCCAAGGTAAGAGATGAGCTACTCAGGATCTGTAGCCTTACCTGATGAGTTCTACTTGAGTTTTTCAGGACAGCAAAAATGCTTATCAACCTTGGCATAGATTTCAATGGATTGAGTCACAAGGGATCAATTTCTCTCTCTTTTTTTCTCTGCCTGTAACTCAAACCTCACAATGATGAAGAGGAGAGGGAGGGAGTGTTAGAAATGTTAAACTACGTGAAGTTCGTTCATAACAAGCACTTATACACCGTGGGCACAATGTAAGAGGGAAGATGTGGAAGATTCCATTCTTGTCCTGAAGTTGCTCACAACCTAGTTGATAGATATAAGATGGCACCTCTCCCTCTGCCCACCATGAAAAGATTGATGTTGTTCTGGATTCGGCCCTTTGCCCTTTTTGTGTTTCTTTTCCACCTGCTCCTCCGGGGTCATCTCACCTGAGCTAATGATTTCAACTACCCCGCACACCTCCTTCCAAAATCACTATGCTTGGTTTGAGCCCACTCCTAGGCTCCAGACCTGTGTCTTCCAGCTGCTTCTATTCCAACTCCTCTCTCATGCTCAAAACTTACATATAATTCATCAGTAAGTTTTGTTAACTTTGCCTTTAAATTTCACCAGGAACATACTATTTTTCACCACTTCCGTTCCTATAACCCTTGTCCAAGCCACTGTCAACTCTGGCCTGCCTTATTGTAATAGCTCTACCAAATCAGTATTGCTATCTTATCGCCTGTTGCCTGCTCTTTACACATTTCCCTTTCTTTCGGTAATAAAAACTTGAATTACCTTTGGTGAATGTAACCGTCAGGGTTCCTGCAGAAGGTTAATCTGAGCTGAGTTTGGTAAAGGTTATATACAAATGTGTGGGCAGGGTTGAGGGAAACAAGAAGGAATGATAGGATGAAACTCTGAGGCTGCCAGCAGTAGGGAGCTACTACCACCTCTAGGCCAAGAGAAGGGAGACTCTACCAGAGCTAGGAGAGACCCGTATGAAGAGGGGCACTAGACAGAAGACTCAACAGAGGTATGTGGCCAACATGCAGTGACCCAGAAGGGAAAGGGCCTGCGGAAGGGGCCTAACTTCATCCTCCTCCAATCCTCTGCACGCCTCCAATGTCTTCTATGGATAAATTCAACTGTAAGCCAGAGAACTAGGGACCCATTGAAGCAGTCCATGCTGGTATCTCCTAAGGCACAAATCAGGTAGAAAAAAATGTAGAGTAGATAAAGGGACCAAGAGAAAATTTTTGGTCACACAGGAAGCCACGTTTCCCCAATTCTCAGTCCATGAGATTTAAGAGCTACTCCAGAGGTTAGCACATGACCCAGGTCTGGGCTATCAGAATAGTCCACGCCCCTTCTGAAGAGAGTGGCTTAATGATGCACAAGTAACCCAAGTCAGACCAACAAGATGCAGTCCTGGGACTTTTGTTGACAGCACTGAAGAAAAGAAACTCTAATGGTAAGGATATGATGTGAAGTTGTTAGCAGCCATTCTGCTATCTCATGGGGAAAGGCAGCCTGAGAAAGAAGTCAACACGAAGGAAAACAGAGTTAAGAAATGGAGATCAAATCCTGATGTCATACTTTTAAGCCCTTAGATCCAGCCATGCTTGAAGCCCACAACTTTTCTGCATTACATGAGGTAATGAATTCCATTTGCTGTTTAATCCAGTTTGAGTGGTATATTACATGCAAAAAAAACAAAAACAAAACCTCTTGAATAATATTTAATACTTATCCCAAAGACCAACATAAAGGCATACCTTTATGTCTCTAAATATGCCATTATTCTATGGAATGTCCTTTTCCATATTCTCCACCTAGAAAAATCCTACTCAAATATCCTCTTAATGCAAAGCCTTCCCTCAGTTTTCCAGGTAGAATTGCTCGATCCTTCCTCTGCTTTGTCAGCACTTTGCAAATGCCTCTATCAGTGTACATATAAAGTTGTGTCATAGTTAGTTGTTTGCTTATCTGTCTCCCCTATCTGTGAGCTCCTGAAGGGATAGATTTGCATGGCCCTTACCCCTGTAAGCCTAGTACCCAGCACAAGGCCTAAACCCTGAGTTAAACAAGGCTAAACCAGTCTTTTTACTTTAGGACTTCTCAGAGCCATTTCTGTGTTAAGATGCATTAATGGATCCCCATGCAGGGGTACCGAATGCAGCAACTTCCAAATTCATTTGACCTAAAAGCTCAATTTTTGCTGAAGTTGCTGTGTTTGAGAAATTTAGAGAAGAAAAATAACTGCGGCTCTTAGGGTGACCTTAACACATGAAGTGGCTCTCAATAAATATTTGTTAAGTGAATGAAAGGGAGAACTTGGTGGGGCGCAAGGGGCAGTAGGGTTGGAAGCAACAGAAACAACACAAGCAATGAACAGGAGGCCAGAGGGGTGATCCGTTGGACATATCTCTCTGATGGTGCCAGGTCAATTGCTAAAGAATGATTGGGACCATAATGCAATCCTGTTTCCTTAGTTTAAATCTAACAGAGATTAGATGTATTCTACACACTTTAATCCTTCTTCCTATCCCATGACCCAGGGGCTAAGTGCCTGAGGGCACTGCTTCCTTGATTTTGACCTTCAATTTGCTTCACTTTGCCTCAGAGGGGACTATGTGGGAGATCATAGCTGATTTTCCTCTAACTGCACACCTTAAGTCAAATTCCTTTCCTGTTCTGTGCCTCTGTTTCCCTCTCTGTGAACACAGGCTCCCTTCCAAGCTTGGCTCAGACGCCTTGGTAAAAAAATTTTTTTTTTTTTTTAAATAACCTGACAAAGGAAGCCCCAGTCCTACCACTGTAACTTTGGACAACTCATTGAACAGCTCAGGCCCTTGGTCTTTCTATTTGTAAAAGAAATAGAGGCTTCTGAGAGAATCAAGGAAGACTGTGCGGTGAAAAGTGTTTTGCAAACGGGGAATAAAACATTAGAAATGTAAATATTATTAGGATTGTACATACGATGAAGAGGAGGTGGAGGGGGAGTGGAGGGGGGGGGGGTTGGAGGAGGCGGCGGCTGCAGCAGAAGCCCACCGTGGTTCAGAGCCCAGGACAAGGAGTCAGCACCCGGACGCAGCCTATAGCTCAACCACCTAACTTGCTGTCTCGCCTTGGGGAATTAAGCACATGGAAGCCCTCTTCATCTATAAAAGGAGGATAATAATGTTCGGTTCGCTGGTTGTGAGGTTAAATGAGGTAAATCCTGCAAAGCACACGTTGCAGTGTACATAGTAACTAGCCCTCAGTAAATGTTCATTATATTCCTACTAACTATTCTTGCCACCGACTGAATGGGACCAAGCAAGAAAAGGAGATAAGCCATTTCTGGTCACGGTGCAAGACCAGAAGATCGCCAAAGGTCCCGCCGTCGGGGGCACCTAAAGCCCCCTCCCCAGCTAGACCGCCCAAGCCCCTCACCTGCGCTTAACAAGAAAACCCGGATGCAGGTCAAGTGCGAGCGCGCAGCCAGGCTCCCGCCCCGGCCCCAAGGCCGCACGCGAAGGGCGGGGCCGCTTCCTGCCGGCTACTGGGCCCCGCGCGCCCCCGCCGGGCGGTCTACACCGGGCGCCTGCGCCGCGCGAGCTCGCCGGAGGTGGGGGGAGGGGGGGCGGAGCCGCGCGGGACCGGGCGCGCGCGCGCGCGACGCCGACGGCCTGGCTCTACAGGACGCGGCTCGCGCCCAGGCGGAGGCGGCCGCTCCCGCGGACGTCGAGGGCGTGGCGGCTAGGCTCTGGGCAGCGGGCACCTAGCAGACTGTACCCCGGCGACCGCCCGCCGCGTCTCCCCAAGCGCGGCCCCTCGCGGCGCCCCGTCTCCCGCGTAGCCCGTCTGGCCGTCCCGGCCTCTCCTTGCCTGCCTGCCTGCCTGCGGCGGCCACGCGAGCAGGTGAGTCTCCCCTTCACAGGGTGGGGCCGCCTCTCCGAGCAGGCTCTGCCCCCGGCTCTCGGTAGGATGGGGGGCACTGGGTGTGGCAAGTTAAAAAAAGAAACGGTCCACAGGTGCCGGGAGGGGTGGGCGCTCCTGTGCCCGAGACCCCAGAGACGCTGCGCCTTTGCCTTCCGGGTCCAGCCCCTCTGGCGTCCAGGCTCTTCTCTGACAGCTCTGGGGTCGTGTCTTGGAAAACAAAACCAAGAAAAATGTTCTCTCTCCCAACAGCTGTTTGACTTTTTGAAAAGCTGACAGAGCCAGCGTGCTCCTGAAGGCAGAAGGGTGCAGTCCAGGGGCGACCAGAAGTTGGAAGCCCCTCCTTTTTTCTTGCTCTCCTTCCTCCGTGATGCGCGGGTAACGATCGCATTACCTATTCGATAACTTCTTGAAACTTGTCTGTCTGCTTCCATCTGCTGCCTGGACCAATAGAGCAGTAGTGGTCCGTTTTCAGGTTGCTTCGTCCCAGCTTCCGTGCAAAATCTGATCATCTCCTTCAGGGATTAGGAGTCTCGTGCAGGGAGCAGTTCAGATCCGTGTTGCAGATACAAACTAGGATTATTTAAAGTGATGGTTTAGTGCAGTGCTCAAAGCCAGAAGTATTTGCTCCTTCTTGTTGAAAGTTACCTAGCACACCACATTTATTCGAACTTTTAATAGAAGTCTCTGTATTTCATAGAAGTCTCAGATGTACAATTTCATAAGCGATTGACTTATTTGTAGCTGTGATTACATAGGATTTAAAGTGATTAATTTTAAGACTGTTTCATTAGCTCTGATTCAAAATACTAAATTATAAAAACACATAGACTGAGACTCAGAATACAGATGTTTGTGTATCAGCTAAGTGCGTGCTTTTTGGTGGGGATATTATATTGGTTTTCTAGAAATGGATTTTTGATGCGGGAAGACAGTGAAAGGCCTGAAAACTCAGAGCCCCTTCTTTAGCCACGCTGTCAGCTTTATGTTTTATCAGGTTGGCAAAACTTTTCTTTCTTAGCGTGGGAAGAGATTTCAGTGCTTTTCAGGAAAACAAGATTTGTCCCACTATTGAATTGTAACATCTGTAAAACTTTTAAACGTGTTCATGTTAAGGATTACAAATGAGTACAAATTTTGTATGGTACTAGAGGATATGTTGGTTGAAAGACTTAGGCAAAACATCATGAAAAATAGTGTGATTTGGAAATCTATTAGGCTGAAACCTGTGAAATAATGGGAGGTCTAAAGTTCAATACCGTTTGTTATTTAGACCCAAAGAGCTACAGAAGGTGGAGGTCAGACAGTGGATCTCCACTTTTTTCCTAGAATGTAGAGGTTATAATGAGAGGAAATGAATTACATACAGCGAAACGAATAGCATCAGTCTTTACATCTCTACTTCAATTATTCTTTAAAATCTGTTATTTTCATTTGTTCTGACAAATGTGAAAAGAGGGCATAGGTCATTGAAACATACAAAATTCAAAAATCTAATTTTCATCTTTACTGTTGCACCATTTTTTTTTCCATACCACAGCTACTAAAAAGTAGTAAGATTCTACCTAAAAGTAGTGAGTGGGGAGGAAGTGGGAGATAGAGGCTTGCAGGATAGCTATTCAGAACCCCCACATTGACAATCCAGAGGGTTTTTTTTAAAAAAGGAATTTAGTCTAAATTTATAATTTAGACGTTTTTAAAAGGTATTTAGTAGTTCAACAGCATCTGTGAGTATTTTCCTCATTTTATATTGAGAGGACAAATGTAATACAAAAAGCCAAGTGACTGTTCCAAGGTTATTCAGCAGGGCACTTGTAGAGCTGGAAATGGGGTATTTTGTTTGCTTCCAGTATTGATCAATAGCATTTTGAGCACATCAAAACGTAATAAAGTGCATCTAGCTAAGGTATTTTAAATATGCACCAAGTTGAGAAGCATACTATTTTGAAAAATTATTCTTTTTTAATCCTGGAGGAGGAGGAGGAATTTACCTTTTCCTGATCCGAATTTAAAATGCAGAGTCAAATCCATGTGCTTGACATTTTCCCCTGATGGATTACTTCTGTCACTAGGCTTGTAGCAGAGCAGAGGGTCATGCTACTTGGAGTTTTCCACTCATGTGATATTTCCATGAAGAAACAATTTGCCAGAAGCCAGCCACAGCTACCGTTGTGCTGCAGATGATGCTAAACCCTGATTAGCACAGACCTTGGCTTACAAAAGCTAGTGGATATCGGTTCAGCCCTTTCCAATCAATATTTCCCTGAGTTAGTAAACTGAGGGACAGGTTAGCCTTGTAGGAGTTGCAGTGAGGCAGAGTTAGCAACAACTCCAGTCATATCAGCATAGAGGCAGTATACTTCTGTAAATTTTTTTCTTTTCCTTAATAAAACCAAACAACTTAAGTACCAGCTGAGTTACCTTATAAGATGATTTCTTTACAGATGTGCTAGGATTGTCTTTTCCACTGGTTGACTCTGATCATATCTCTCTGTTCAAATCTGGCTGCATTTATGATGTCAGGAAATTGTGAAATAGTTGATGATGTTGACTTAAGCTATATCCAAAAAAATCTCATGGCAGGCCTTTAGCAAGAGAACCGTCATATGAAGGACAACATCTCTAATACTGTGTGCACTGAATTACAACATAAAATTCTTTGAGGCCCATAAAAAGTGCACCATGGCCTTTTCTCAGTTAGCTCTCTGGGGGTTTTTTTAGTTTTTTTTTTTTGCGGTACGCGGGCCTCTCACTGTTGTGGCCTCTCCCGTTGCGGAGCACAGGCTCCGGACGTGCAGGCTCAGCGGCCATGGCTCACGGGCCCAGCCGCTCCGCGGCATGTGGGATCCTCTCGGACCGGGGCACGAACCCACATCTCCTGCATCGGCAGGCGGACTCTCAAACACTGTGCCACCAGGGAAGCCCAGCTGTCTGTTTTTAAATCTTTAAATGATTTCATACTGGAGCTATATTACTACTACCAGTGGTTGCTCTGGAGCTGATTTTATTGATCTGCAACTGAACAGTTTTCTTGAAATGATACAAAGTATTAGTTTTATTTTTTTAGTTTTATTTTTGTATCCTTTTTGTTGCTTGGAATTAGATCATTTGGGTGTGCATTTTTCTCATTTTGTTATTTTAATATAAATTCCACCGAAGGTTCTGATATTATTGGGGTCCTTTCGACCCAACAATACATTGACATAGATTGTGCCTATGTAAAAATAATTAGTTATCGACCACCAACTATATGCAAAGCATTATTCTGAGCACGCAGCATGTATTCTCTCATTTAATACTTCTAACATCGTTATTGGATAAGAATTATTATTATCACCCCCATTTTATAGTTGAGGAAATAGAAAGGGAGGCAAAGTAATTTACCTAACATAGAATACAGGGGACAGAGTTTAAATCTAGAGGAGTCTGATTATGGAGCCTGAATCTTTCTGAGATATATTTAAATATTGTTCAAACTTGTTTGCAGTTACTATGGTATTTCATTAATCCATCCTTTTAAGCTGTATCAAATATACACTACTGTATAAGTGAAGAAAATATAGCAATACTATAAAGATTATTGAAATATCTTGGGACAAAAGGCAAATAATTTAACAATAATGTAAAAAAATTGAAGGGAAAATACCTATAAAGATATTATAGGGGATAACTGACAAAATGTGAAAATCGACTCTGATTTAGATAAAAATATTATATCAATGTTAAAGTACTTGGTTTTGATAATTGAACTGTAGGTTGTATAAGAAAATGATCTTATTCTTATACACTGAAGTATTTGGGAGTAAAGGGGGCATACCCTATCTTGGTCTCAACGGTTTGGGGAAAAATGTATATGTATTAAAATGAGAGAATGATTTTTAAAATAGGCAAAAGTGTAAGTAATTGTATACAGAAAAAGGGTACACAGGAATTCCTTATACTATTCTTACAACTTTTCTGTTTGACATTATATCAAAAGAAAAAGTTACCCCAAAATGAAGGTAGAAAACAGGAAATGAAGGTGTAACATTCTAAGAATTTTTTTTTTTAAGTCAGGTGAAGGATTGTTTCTTGTGCTCTGATTTTCTTTTTTTTTAGAGGTTGGAGGAAGGAACTTGAGACAAACAGAAAATCTTATCAAAAATAGCTTGACTTTCTCAAATTTCAAAATCTAGCCATTCAAAGCTCCCTAACACTCCAGCCAGGCCAGGTGTTTTCATCACCTGTTTTTTTTTTTTTGCGGTACATGGGCCTCTCACTGTTGTGGCCTCTCCCGTTGCGGAGGACAGGCTCCGGACATGCAGGGTCAGCGGCCATGGCTCACGGGCCCAGCCGCTCCGCGGCATGTGGGATCCTCCTGGACCGGGGCACGAACCTGTGTCTCCTGCATCGGCAGGCGGACTCTCAACCACTGCGCCACCAGGGAAGCCCCTCACCTCTTTTTAATGGGGAGGGGGAGGATAAAGACATTAGTGTCTCAGAGATAAGAGGTAAAGACAGCCCACTTTTAGTGATACTGAAAGTTAAATTAGGTTGGTTATATCATTTCCCTGCCTAAAACCTTCAATGCCATGCTGATATTGACTAATTTTTATGTCAGAACTCTGTAACCCTACTTTCAAGGCAGCCTGGCCCAAACCTACCTTTCTCACTTTGTTTCGTGCCATCCCCACCAAACCTGGTCCACTCTGGCCACACCAAATCTCATGATCTCGTGCCTGCTCCTCTTTCTGTCTTCCTGCCTTTGTCCGTGAACTGTTGGCTTCGCCTGGAATGCACCCCATTCTCTTCCTGCAGAAATTCTGTTCATCTTTTAAGTCTAACCATAACCTCCTTTGGGGAAGCTGTCTCTAATCTCATGCAGAATTAAATTTTCCTTTGTCTGTGCTGCCGTATCAGAGGGGTAAACACAATACTACCTGCTTGCGTTCAGTAATCCTTATTAAGCATATACTCTGAGCTAGAAACTGTGCCAGGGACTGGGGATTCAAAGGTACTCAAGCTCTGGTAGCTTAGGAGTGATTTGTAAACAAATAATCAAGTACATAACAGAGAAATGAACAAAGCTACGGACTCTACCTGACAATTTAGGCTTAAAGAAAAGATTACAATGAAAGTCACAGTGAGATACCATTTTCCCCCCCAGCACGCCCCTGTCCAGATCAGAGATTTCCAGCACAGTCATCTACTTAAAGGAATAAGTTTTAAACAGTTGTAGTACCAGATAGGTATATTCAAAGGAAAGCTAAAAATACAAGTCTAGAACTCAGGAGAGAGAGGTGGAGTTCAGTGCGCACAGGCAGGAAAGACCTGGGGGCAGATGAGAATTTTTCGGGATCCTGTCGGTTTTCAATGCATCATCGCCTCCAATGCCCAAGATTCTGCTCTTGCTTCCCGCTCAATTTTGGTGACATCTTTCCCTGCTTAAGAATTATTGAAGCGGGGGCTTCCCTGGTGGCGCAGTGGTTGAGAGTCCGCCTGCCGATGCAGGGACATGGGTTCGTGCCCCGGTCCGGGAAGATCCCAAATGCCACGGAGCGGCTGGGCCCGTGAGCCATGGCCACTGAGCCTGCGCGTCCGGAGCCTGTGCTCCGCAACGGGAGAGGCCATAACAGTGAGAGGCCCGCGTACCGCAAAAAAAAAAAAAAAAGAATTACTGAAGCGAGAGACTGTATTGATATACATGTGTTGTGTGTGTCAACCACGGGGAAGCAAGAAACAAAGCTGAGAAACACTGGTGATGGAGTAGTTAAAATCCTTGGGCCTCCATAAAACCACCCAGGAAGAGTAAGATGAAGAAGAGGATGGGGTTGAAACCTCGAAGAGACGTTGTAAAGGGTGAGTAGGGAAAGAGGAGCCAGTGACAAGGGCAGCTGGGGAGGAAGGAGAGCCGGGAAGGACAGAGCCCAGGGAGGGCATGGGCACAGAGACGTCCCAGAAGGAATGGGTGGGCGGCGGTCCCGAGCTGCAGAGACAGGCAGAGGCCTGGGATTAGGACACCACGAAGAGGCTGTTGCTGTCCAATGGGGGCAGTTTTAGCTGGAAGAGGGTGGCGGGAGTCCTGCAGTCCTGAATTCACGAGTGACTGGAGTTGAGGAGACTCCTCTTTGCAGCAAGCCGGTAGGAAAGGGGAAGCAGAGACAGAGGGAGGTAGATGGAGGGGCAGGCCGACTCCAAATGGAAGGTTTTCTTTTTTCAAGATTGGGCCGGAGTGGGGGTGGGGAATCTTGAAGAGGTATGTTTGCTGAAGAAGAGGAATGAATGGGTGGAGACGGAGAAATTAAAAGTATAGGAGCCAGTTAATGGAACAAGGTCCTTTGGGGGTATTATTGAAGAGAAGAAATTCTTGCTTTGGTGGGATCTCCTTGAGGATAGGAACCATGTTTTATTCATCTCATAGCTCCCTGTACTTGGCATGCAGTAGACACTCGGAAAATGTTTCTGAAAACAAGTAAAGATTTTACTTTTTAGAATTAGTCTTTCCTGATTGATACAGTGGAATAACGGGGGGAAAAAATCACTATTTTTTCGCATGATTAACATTCTGTACTGTTTTCTATATAAGCAATATATTTGCAACTTCGTGTTCTTTGAAATAAAAGAGAAAATCACGAAGGGAATATTGAGGTAGTAATAATCATGCTCACTTAATTTTTCTGTGCCTGATAAGTATTACTTAAATTCCAGCATTTTGAAATGTGTTATGTTCAAGTCACTCTGCTTGGTGGATGTGGAGTGCAGTTCATCAGAAGAGACAAAAATGCACGTAAACAGTCCTATAAGACAGACTCTGTTCATTATTTAACAGTGGGACACTATCAGCTCCATGCTTTGGGGTTAAAATTACTGATTTTTAAGCATTCAGAGAAAGGACATTTTTAAAATTGTCTTCTATGTCAGATTTTGCCCGTTGTAAATATTACTGATATTAGCAAAGACCAACTTTGTATAGAGCTTTCGGTTCTGTGTAACTTAGTTCTTCGAGAGTGTATTCAAAAAGAACAAATTGTTTAAAAAAAAGGTAAAGTCAGCTTATTGCAGACCATATTTTAGGGTGCAGATGGTGAGTGAATCCGTGTGGGTTTTATTCTGCTCTGCCAATTTCAGTGTTGCAGACCTAAATCCCAAACAAATATGCAAAGGCAGTTCTGGTTCACATTTTCCTTCCTACTGCTTGTAAACTGGTGTACATGTTGATAGTATCTCATTTTGTATTATACCCCCAGCTCCATTTCAGTAGAAAACTTGCAGCCTTTTTTTCGTAATATGTCGTTGCCAGTGAAATATATTACATAAAGTATGCTAAGCAAATCAAATTAGTATGTATAGAATTCATTTATGAGGACTGTAATGAGGTTATTTAAACTTTGAGTGATCTTTCCTGAATAAAATTGCTTCATTTGATGAGTCGCTGTCTTGAGAATTAATTGGAGCGTTATTGGGCCTTCAAAGTCTTATCTCTGTTGTTTTCTTTTTTTTTTAACAGTAGATGCCTGGTAGACATCTTAGAACTTTAAGAACGGAAAAGACCTGCTTTTAGGGGATAATGCTGAGGGACACTATGAAATCTTGGAATGACAGCCAGTCAGATCTCTGTAGCAGTGACCAAGAAGAGGAAGAAGAGATGATTTTTGGTGAAAATGAAGATGATTTGGAAGAAATGATGGATTTAAGTGATCTGCCTACCTCACTTTTTGCTTGCAGTGTCCATGAAGCTGTGTTTGAGGTGCCAGAGCAGAAGGTAGGCATGTACCCTGCCTTTCCCTGCCTTTGATAGTGTGTTAAATGTGTGCGGGTTCGGGGAAACAGCATGTCGCTGCCCGTTTGCAAAGTTTATTACTGGTCCGTGACAAGTAGAGAAGTGTGCATCAAACTTTAGACATTGCTGGGGCATTTTTATTATGCTTTATGAGACTATCAGTCTGCAACAGATAGGAAATATTTAAAATCCAGTCCTTCCCCACAGACATTTTGAGAAGTACTGGTTTCTAGTGAACTCTGAATCAAGTCCTATTAAGTTCATCCATTTATTCATGCAGTCATTCATTTTTGGAGCCTGTGGTTAAAGAGAAGCTAAGTGATTTTTAGCCTGGCTTCCTATTACTTGGGAGTTAATTCACAATAGAAGGAATTATTTTAAGCCTTTTTCTAGGGCTAATTACATAATTAGGACTATTTATGATTTCATTTTAACAGAGTTGTTAGTATTTCTTGTTTTACTTTCTACAACCTGGCCAGGGCAAAATGATTGAGTTTATTTTTTTAAAAGGTTACTCTTCTTTAGTTCATTCATTATTTAACTGGAAAAAGAGATTGTATGTGCGCTTTTGGTTCCGTCGTGACCTCACAAAAGCTTGTGGATCTTAGTCATACAAAAGTAAAATATTTCTGCCACTGGTATGAATTTTGCATGTTCTAAGACTTCGTTTAAAAATCCTATCACGATCCTTTTAATTTGCTATCTATGCCCTCTAAGTATTTTCCTTCCAGTGACTCTCATGGAGCAGAACTTGATACAGTTTGACTCAGTACATACTTGAGTGCTCCAGTGTGTAAGGCACTGTACCAGTTGCTTCAGGGAATTTAAACAGCTTCTGCCACAGAGAGTTTACAGTGCTGCAGTGGAGATGATCAGTAATTTGATGTAAGATAGAATACTCGTGCCTTTAGAGACACTTGAAAGTACTGAGGTAACAGAGGAGTAGGATCACAGCCAGCTGGAATAAAAGAGCTTACGGGGAGTTGCATTGCAGAGGAGCTGTGTAAGTTGGGTAGGAGTTTAGCAGGGAAGGGAAAGGCAGTTCCAGCCAGAGGGAACAGAATGAGCAAAAGAGCTGAATCAGGAGAGCGTGGACCGCTTACTGCAGGGAGCAGTGAGCAGTTCTGTGTGGCTGGCGCTGAGGTGAGGTGTAGCCAACGTCAAGAGCAGTTGGGCTGGAAAGGTGAGTGTGAGGCATCCTGCAGACTCAAGGAGCTTGCCCTTCTGTGGCCAGTAGCCTCTGAGCAAAGGAGTGGCAGTCAGAATTACACATTGGGAAGGTCAGCCACAACCTGTAAAGGGCAGAGTGGTGGCAGGAGAGCCAAAAGCAGGGCCCGTTGGGGTGCGCTTGTGGAAACCAGCCTAGAGGTACAGGAGACCTGGAAGGGGAGAGGGAGAGGGTGGCAGCCACCAGATTTTTACCGTTTGGGTTTGTTTACATTTACAAATGCTATTTTCTTTCCCAAGTTCAGTCACAGTGTAGACATTTTGAAATCATTCTTCCTAGTTTTCTCATACGTTTTAAGAGCTCTAAATTTTCATGTAATAAATAATTACATTGACTTTGTTGTTGTGAGAAACCACATGTATTACTAGTTTATCTTAAAATTCGTAAGAATTTTTCAAGAAACCTCACAATCTTATCTGTCCCAAGTTTTTCTTTTTTTACTATAGCCTAGGGGTTTGTTTAACTTGCCGAAGTGATGAATTCTGGTTGGTTTTCAACTTTAAAACCATTTGACGTTGTATCTAACCTAAATTTATATTGGAAATCATATCACCAGAAATTCTAGCAGCAGTTCAGTGGACTTCACATTACATACAGTTCACATTACAACTCATAGGAAATTTGATATAAAAACCTTCATGATAATATCTGAAGCTGCAGAATATAAAATGTTGATATAATAAAATTATATATGGATCATTAATTGGATATAAAGTGTAAGGAGAATCAAATGTTTTCTTTATAGTTTGCTTCTCACTATCAGTGTCTTATTTTGCTTTAGTTTCTTCTGGAATAACCTGTTTGTGCAGGTCATCCACATACGTGCAAAAAGCAAAGCAAAACAAAAACCACTTCTGATGGATTTTGGACAAAATAATTCTGATTGCAATTAAATGTTTTATTTTCAAAAGAATTTTAGTTTTTTCTCCAGGTTTGAAAAGGTTTTTGTCTTGATAATTTTATAATTGTTGGAATGCGCTTCTACCCTCTTCTGAATGGTGGACTGAGTAACACAGGGGCCATTGTCATGTGAAGGTGAATCTTCATTTTAGATTGCTGGATTTGGGCTCTACATTTTCATCAGTTTTTGTTGAAAATTGCATGAGGTGGGGGAGGAAGAGTAAAGAATATGGGAAACTGTAAGAAAAATAAACCGAGGAAAAGGCTTATCTCGTCATTTCTGTTTCTGCAGCAGCACGGTTGCTAGTTTTTATACATGTGCTCAGCTAATCAGCGGCTCCATCTGGAGCACTGCAGGTTTAGTACCTAATTTTTCTGTAACAGATTGGAATTTGTTCCGTGTGATTTTATTAACTTGACATTTTTAACCCCAATTTTCCCTTTCTTAAAATAAGGAAAAATTGAGCAGCCTTCTGGTTTGAACATGAGAGGTCTTCAAAATGCAATTTAGGTTTTTATGATGGGAGAAACTGGAGTGATTCTCCTTTCTGATTTAGGTCTGAGTATCTGAGGGGACTCAGTAAATGTTGATGCGAAGCAGCGTTCTGGTAGGACTGACTTTATAAAGAAATGCATGTGGCTATTGGATTAGTCTCTTCGCAAAGCACTACCCTTCACACATGAAACTGTTTCCACTGACCTACTCACCATACGACATTTGATTTATTTTTCTAATGACGATGGTTGGGGTATATTAAGACATCTCTACTTGCTCTCCTGGTCCTGCTTTTCGATCAGTGACACTTAGCATCTAATACAGTTCCCAGTACGGGGCAACACCTGTTAAATGTTTGTTGAATGAATGGATTATGTAAGATATTTGTGGAGGATTAGTGATACAGAGCTGTGGTAGAGAAACAGACTTATAAGCTGAGTGAGGTTAAGTAGTATGTAGAAGATTTAATCTGAAATTGTGATTTCAGATACACTGGCGCAAATTCTTCTGTGGTCTGTATAATCATATTCATAATATAATCTTTCTGTCGAGCATTTGGTTTCTATACCCTCCATTTAAAGAATAGAAAATATTACTTAAGAAAAATAAATGATATCTGGAAGTTAACTGAAATACCCTGAGTCTCTGGTTTTTAGACCTAATCAATTGTTGAGTGTTCTAATACAACCTTCAATCCAGGAGAAATGAATCTTTTGAGGAAAGTGATTTGTTTTAAACTTGAGAATTGAAAAAGGGGATTCAAAGGAAGAATGTTAAAGTGAACTGTATTTTTAACAGTGCCTGGAACATAATATGGTTTCAGTAAATATTTGTTCAATTGAATCTGTAGTGCCATTCTGGCCAAGAATTAGTAAAAATTTAATTAACTTCAAGGCTAGATTAAACACTAGAGAATCATAGAAGTTTAGAGCTGGAAGAAATCCTAGCCAAGTCTCATACAGTAGTTTCAGAGTAACAGAGTAATTGAGCGTGCTTTAGAACCCATTTTTCAGTTGTACACTGAAAACTACAAAACATTGCTGAAGGAAATTAAAGACAACACAAATAAATGGAAAGATATTCATATCCGTGGACTGGAATACTTAATATTGTTAAGATGTCAGTACTGCCTAAAACAGTCTATGGATTTGGTGCAATCCCTATCAAAATCCCAAAGATGTTTCCTGCAGAAATAGAAAAACTCATCCTAAAATTCATAGACTCTCAAGAGACCCCCAAATAACCAAAACAATTTTGAAAAAGAACAACGTTGGAGGACTCACACTTGCTGATTTTAAAACTTAATACAAAGCTGTAGTAATCAAAGCAGTGTGGTGCTTACTTGTCAATTATATCTCAATTTAAAAAAAACAGTATGGTACTAGTATAAAGATAGACATATTAACCAACTGAATAGAACAGAGAGTCCAGAAATGAATCCTTGCATATATGGTCAAATGATTTTCAGCAAGGATACCAAGACCATTCAACGGGGAAAGGACAGTCTTTTCAACAAATAATGCTGGGAAAACTGGATATCCACATGCAAAAGAATGAGGTTGGACCCTTACCTTACACCATATACAAAAATTAATTCCAAATAGATCAAAGACCTAAATGTAAGAGCTAAAACTGTAAACTCTTAGAAGGAAACATAGAGGGAAAGCTTCTTGACATTGGATTTGGCATTAATTTCTCAGATAGGACACCAAAAGCACAGACAACAATAGAAAAAATAGATAAATTGGACTTTATCAGAATTTAAAACGTGTGCAGAGAATATTTTCAAATCGTATATCTGATAAGGGATTAGTCCCCAGAATATATAAAGAACTCCTAAAATTCAACAACAAAAACCAAATGGGGTATATACAACTAATTGAAAAATGGGCAAAAGAGTTGAATAGACATTTCTCCAAAGGTGTATAAATGGCCAATAAGTACATGAAAAGATGCTCAACATCATGAATAATTAGGGAAATACAAATCAAATTCACAATGAGATACTTCACACCCATTATTGACAAGGATATGGAGAAATTGGAACCTTTTGTGCATTGCTGGCGGGAACATAAAATGGTGTGACTGCTGTGGAAAATGGTATGGCAGCTCTTCAAAGAATTAAGCATAGAATTACCATATGATCCAATGATTTTGCTTCTGGGTATATACACAAAAGAAAGCAGGGACTCCAACAGATATTTGTACACCAATGTTCACAGCAGTATTATTCACAATAGGCAAAAAGTGGAAACAACTCAAATGTCTATCAACGTTATCCGTTGATAGACATTTGAGTTGTTTCCACTTTTTGCCTATTTGCCTATTGTTAATAAACAAAATGCAGCGTATACATAC